AAAAAAATAGAAAAGACAAATAATTTTTAAATCAATCACATCCCTTCACAGAAAATAGAGAATTCCACATTTTTCTTTACTACCCACCCCGATCAATGAATCAATGATAACAATCACTCTTTGTATATAATGTCAATATTATTCATCATTGATTAATATGGATTGTCAAAATATTATTCGAGATGTTTTATTACTTTTTAGTTTTATTTTTTAATTAATTTGATTGCATACTAGTCCCCCTTCACCCGCCTTTGGTAGGTAGATAGAACGCTTTGTATCACCGTTTGGAATATCAAAAGTTTCTTGAGGTCGAACTTGAAGTTTAATAGGATTTTCATCACAGACAAAACTTCATCAACTCAATTGTTACTTTTTCGCATCTTGAAATCACTAAGAAAGCTAATCATATAAAATCCATGTAATTAAAAAAGACTCATATTAACACGTAGTTGAATAAATTAAAATGAACGTCAATGTTATTTTTCTCAACAATCTCAATATTGTTATCTATTTACCTGATTTTTCAAGTGTAACCCCACAATTTAAGCTTATTTGTGAAATTTATTACACTAGCATGTTTGCCTAAGTTTAAAAGTTATTATAAGTTTTAAAATAATTATTTAAATTTTTATTATTATTTGAACATGTGAATGAGTAAGTTACTTATTTAACTGTAAAATAACGTCACGTGCAAAATGTATAAATTTTTGTGAAATTTATTACACTAGCGTGTACATTGTGAGTGTAGTGGAGCTCACGACATTGTAGCGCATGCCCCACCCCCACTCACATTATGTACACGCCTATGTACCAGTAACATTGCTCTAAATTTTTACTCAAAAGAAATGCTTCTCGAGGTTAAAAAAAAATAGATAAATAAATAAAATATTTCTCTGTAGTCATGCAAGGTCCATTATACCAATTATATTGTGTAATATTTACGATTTGAAGATGAATTTATCTCATGTTTGGGTAATGATAAATTAGAATAAATTGATTTTAAGTGAAGGTATAAATCTTGAAAAAAAGTGAAAAAGTTATCGTTTATTTCACTAACATGTTCAAAATTGATTAAGCCTTTACGTTCAAATTAAAAGAAACATATAACACATGACAAAAAGGGAGAATTTGTCCTAAGAGTGTATTTTGGGGTGTCGTATCTATCCTTTGCTTGCAAGGTTCTTACCATAAAATAATGGTTATATCAACAGTGCATCTTTATGGTGTTACTTCCGCCAATCTCCCAAAGTTTTAACGATCACAGTTGCATCTTACGGCTACACTCCTAACAGATTCAGTGGGCCCTCCATTACACGTGTCGTCATACGTCATCTTTCCAGACAGGACATTTTTCTTTTCTTTCTTTATGTATATGCCAAGGTATCGCGTATAGCGCTCTTCGGCGCACCTTAGTGACAATCACGCATTGCTTTTCTCAGCTACTTCTTAAACTCCAATGAGCATCAGAATAGACTCGATTACAATTCAAAACCCTAGATTGAACAGAGCTTATTCTCCTGCTGCAATGGCGCTGTGTTACTCGCCGCCCTCGTCGCTAGGATTTCAAGCCCTGCACAGACCGCACAATTACTATAAAATATCTATTGTAGCCCGAGTAGTTCCGCCCAGACGGCTTGGCCTTAATCTGGTTCCATTACGGGGGCGAAATTTTCGGGAACGTTCAGTTTTGCCTTTCGCGGCTTCTCAAGAGGAATCGGTGAGCGTTATTTCGCACTCTTTTTTGGCTGTTTTGTGTTTTCGGATTAACTTTCTCTGAGAAAGATTGGAAGGTTTGCAAGAGTTGCTTGGATTTTGGTTTTTAACATTTTTAATAGATTCGTTTTGGTTTTATTAATTTCCTTTTTTTTTATGAGAGGGAGCGGTTTACAGAAATTGAAACTGTTCTGTAAGCTTCAATAGTTATTGTGGTAACTCTACCGGAAAATGTGATTGTAAAATAGGCTGCTGCATCAATGCATCTTATGTAATTGCAGTACTCAGTATTAGTTTGGAGATATCATTTTTGAATGCCACTGGGAAGAGCAATATTTTGTAATCGCTGAGTATTTTCCTTATGTCATTGAAATGTGGCTTTGGAATTGGAATGACAATAATAGCATAAGCTTAGCCTAACATGATATAAGTTCCATTTAAATTTGTATCTTTTGGGTGACCAGGTCCTTAAACTGTAGATGAAGGGTAGTTTGTGATAAAATAAGCTCAAGTTACATGTATAGTTTACAAGCATGCAATATATTTGTGACTTTCGATGATTGTGTTTGTTACTTTTCTAGGCCTGCCTTTGTTTTTGTTGGTTTTGCCTGGAAATTCTTTCATTTTGAACTTGAGGCCTGATTTTGTGATAATCTACTTCTCAGAAGCCTTCGGATATTGAAATAGAGAAGGGGGGTCTTAAAGCGGGAGCTGAAGAATCAGAAGAAGCATGGAAACAAACATTAGATTCTTTTAAAGAACAAGCCTTAAAGATGCAGAGTATATCAAAGGAAGCATATGACGTGTATTCTAAAAAGGCTATGGTCATTTTAAAAGAAACTTCTGAAAAATTAAAAATTCATGCAGATAAAGCAAGACAGGATCTAAGCAAAATTGCAAAAGAAGTTGCTGAAGAAAGTAAAAAAAATTTAGCCGCAGCTGCTGAGAATTCCCCTGAACAAGTGAAGGATATTGTTGTAACCTTTGCCTCCCCAACAGATGATCTGAATGACGTCTCCAAAGTACGGGAATTTTATGTTGGAATCCCTTATGGTATGTACACAAGTTGAAAATCTGTAAGTGTATATATATATATATATATACACACACACACACACACAAGATGGAGAAGAACTATCAGTGATCTCAATCCATTGCTCATGCTTTCCAGGTGCTCTTCTTTGTGCTGGTGGATTTCTTTCCTTCATGCTAACTGGAAGTGTTTCTGCAATCAGATTTGGTATTATACTTGGGGGTACTCTTTTAGCCATCAGTATATCAAGTTTAAGATCATGGAAAAAAGGAGAGTTATCGCCTTTAGCCTTGAAAGGACAGACAGGTATCTATTACTGGATGCTTGACACCAATAGGTCCAATACCATGTTCTTTATATATGGCTATCTTGTATTGGTAACATTGATTGACAAGCATTCTCTAGTTTAATAGCAAAACATGGAACGCACTGTATTCAAAGACTTGTGAATCTAACTTGTGACACTTGAGATATTCACATGAAAACAATTGAATTTCGAGTTGCTGCTAAAATGTGTTGATGGAAGCATGCATGAAGCCCATGTCATAATTAAGTTTATTGCACCTTGTATTTAAGAGATGCTGCAATAGATTTGTAGGTCAAATTGTATTGACATGTCTATGTTATACAAGCCAAAAAAGAAGATGAGCAAAGAGATATTGCCAAATTTAAAATGTGATTGTAATCGGTATGTCTATCACAACAAAAAAAGCTAAGTCTTTTAACTCTTGTTCCTAATAAATTTGGGGAAGTCCGTTACATGAGTCCTTTTTTATCAATTCATTAATACAGAGGTACTCATTTAAAAAGCCTCTGAATCGATTCTTTTGCAATCACTTATGCGGTGCTTATTCTGATGACAGCTCTCTTATGTACCACATTCTATTTCTCCCTCATCAACTCATTCAACTAGAATTACATTGATTTTATGAATGAGTGACCTAACATTTAACATATGTTTGGCAAGTGTTTATAGGCAGATAAGTGAGTAGTATTTGTGAGTTCCACAAAATATGTGGATAAAAAAGTGGTTTGACTTTTAGCAATCACTTGCCAAACATTAGTGCTTTACAGTATAGACTATAGTCTGTTTAATGAAAATTCTAAAACTTATCTTGTAACTTGACATTAACATGTAGTTTGTATTTGTTAGCATCATTTATAGCATTTATCTATACATGTTTATTCTCGCTTCATCTTTATTCTTACCATGACTAGAATTCATTCCATGCATTCTGTGGTACTTCTACCCAATAGAAACCAGTTTGCTCGTGACTAGTTTTGGTTTACTTTTAGTTTCTACGTTGGGATATTACCATAGTATTGCATCATTAATGTATTTTGATTTCTGCAGCAATTGCTACCATATTGTTTCTTAGGGAATTGTGCTTGTGGTCCATGGTAACATCTCTTTTTCTACAATTATGAATATGTTATTGTCTCTTTTTTGTTCTGATCAACAAAGCTTGAGGACACACTCTTCTTTTCTTGTTTGCCTTATTTTCTATTTTCCCTTTCTTTGCAGAGACCGCCTATTGCCAAATTCGTTACAACTATCATAAGGTCTGAATATCGCTGAAATATTAAATTACCGTCCGGAAACCTTTTTTATTTCAGCGTTCTGTTTGTCTAATTTATTTTATTGATATTTTGCAATGACTTGTTAATCACTACCTCTAGTGGAAGTTTGTATTCGAAGATAGAACTAGGAGAGAATAAAATAATAAAAGCTACGGAGTGGGTTAATTGAGATTTTACCAAAATAGTGTTTACACAATAATAGACATTCATATTAACATAGTAAGAGTGATTTAATTGTTAATCATAGCAACAAGATAATGTGATAAATAGACCTAATTTAAATAAAATTAAGAGCATATAAAATGACAAACATAACGTGCCATAAAATACTTTAAATTTTTCTTCTAAATTTTAGTGTGTACAAGGCCTCTTTGCTTTCCTACTCCCCAAAGAAGCAATTATTGGCTTTATCTGGCTTCTGACAGTTAGTTTGCAATGTGCAGTGGTGCAGTGGTGGCGTTCTTTGTGTATAGGATCATTAGAGATGGAGGACACACAAAGGAAGGATCCAGTTTGAAAGTTGGGCCAGAAAATTAATCCTCATATGAAGGTCGTTGCAGTCTTTTTACTTTGTATATTTTGTACGATATCCGTATGAAGCACAGCATTTCATGGTGATATGAGCTTTCTGAGGGATATTGGCTACAATGTTCAGCAACTTTAGATTTTGACCATGCCTTTTCTTATCAGGGTCTCCTTTCTTTCCCAGATGTGCTCCTGGTGAAGGGTCAGTCAGTATGCACTATGCAGTGGATTTATCAAGAGTTGATACTTCAAGAGTCCAGAATTGCGGAGTATGTTAGAAGTAGAATTGTCAAGTGCCTTGTTTCAATGTGAAGTTCTCGTTTATTATTTAAAAGGGCATAGAATGGTAGGAAATAAATTTGGATGGCATATTGAGAATCTTGTGAAAGGTTATATGTGCTTGTCTATGGTACTATTTTTCAGTTTTCATTCATTTGCCTCTATTAATGTATACTTTGTATCCTTTCAACCATTTTTTAAGGACTAGAATCCATGTTTCTTTCCTATAGTGAGAAATAATGATATCGTCGGACAACAAACCACACATGCAGTTGCGATCACAATGATGATTGAAACTTGAAAAGCCAGACAGTTAAGTGGTTACTAGTCTTAGTTGGGTCATGCTCACTCAGTACAATTTTAGCAGTGGTTATTGTCTTAATCCATCTAATCGAAATGATTGGGAGTTTACTAAAAGTAGCCAGAATTTATATGAACATGAACACGACCTAGATTTCGGTGTGAGACACGAGTGGGCGGAGAAGATGTACAGAAGCAGCATCAGGACAGTATGACGTTACACAACCGAATAATTACTGGTGGCTTAGAAAAAAAATAAATGTGTTCTTCAGGCCATTCTATAAGGGCTAGCTCTATTGTCCCCATCTCAGACATTCCCATGAGAAATGTGATTAGGTACCTCTCCTTGATTATCCAAGGGCGTTTACTGTGCCATGATGGCCCAAATCTCAGAGTTCTTGTAGTGCTGCACATGAATCAGTAGTGTGAGAATACCATTACTGGGTTCAATGGGACGACGACCCAATGTGGTAGGTAAGACAAACCGATTCGTACACTGATCGTACCCACGTACAAATTATTTTATCGAAAGAATGCGGGGTTGAAAAGTAATTTGAGAAAAAAATAAATTATAAAGAATCTCAACTAAACGAAGACTGTAATACAAAAGATACAATCATGTACATGGAGAGATGTGGAAGGTTACTATACTTGTGAGAAAATGCATACTAAGAGAAATTGTGAGGACCTAACTAAGCATTTCAAAGAAACTGAGAGGAACTAACTAAGCAATTTGAAACGATGACAAATATTTAAAACTTTATCATGCACATAATTTTGAGACTGAATGTTTATACCACAACCACTTGATAATAAGTGTTTGTAATACTTATATATGCCTCTGTATGCTGCTCATTTTTTAGTTGTAGAAAATGAATTTTGTGACCGTTGGAGCACCAACTTCAAGAATAATGTGAGATTGAAGCCAACAATTCCAGCAAATTGAGGCCTGCAACGGTAGTATTTTTTCTAAAAATGGAGAGAAAATGGGAAACAAACAGGAGCATAGTTAGCACGACAAATAATTAGAAATACAAAAACTAAAGATATATGGATACTGTGAAAATAAAGACGTGCTAAGGATTTTTATATATATTTTCCATGTTCCCCACTTGATATCTTTGATAGTATATTTGGTGATGAATACTATCGACTAAGTGATAAGATGAATGTAGAGAGAGAGACTCTTTATTGACGATGAGGTAAAAATGATTGTGACTTGTATAGACTTTAATAAAGTCACACTAAGAATGGCCTTTGGCGATCGCAAAAAGTTGTGCAGTGCTTAATTTTGGAATTTGTAATAATGCAGTTTCTAGTGCGAACAAGTCAGTTCAATGAATTTTATAACTTGATTCATGTATACCCCATTTGATCGTGAAATGGTAACACTCGCATGTAAAAGGCGAGAAGATGAATTTTAAGGTTGTCTAAAAGTGCTACAAGAGTTAAGTCCATGTTTGAACCTCATTCTCTAAAACTAACTTCTTTAGAAACTCATTTTCTTAACCATGCATTCTCTTAATAAGATAAATTTGTACGTAAATTCAAAATATCTATATATTCTACAAAGAAAAATAAAAAATACTTTTTAGCAAAATCTATTTTATAAAAAATGGGGCTTAAACAAAGGCTAAAGGTTGAGTGTGCTAAGCGCAATTTAGCCTTGAAAAATTCAAAGAAAAACTTGATGAGTAGAAAAAATAATATGTCTAAGTTCTTATATGTTTCTTGTCTCTAATATGTTATAATTCAAATATTTTGTGAGATTGGTAAGTATTATCGATTTATTCATCACCTACTTAAATTATAAACTACACTGTCCGTTTGATTCTCATTATTGTAGAATGATAATAAAAAATATAACTGTTATTGGGCTCTGTTAATTTTCATCTAATCCAATCACCAAGTAAAAAAAAAAACTAAAAAATAATAATAAAAAGAAAAAAAGATTTTTTTTAATTGCAAAGCGACTTTGCACCAAATATTCTACAAATCCATTCAGTGATAGAGATTAAAAATCCCTAAATTTCCTCTATGGTAAAATCGACTTGAATTCCTTGTTTCTTTTTCTGAATTCGGACTCTGCAATAATGGGCTTTCACATTTCTGTTCATCCCTCTTATTTCCCTACAATAAACAAAAACAATTGACATTATTCATTACATTATTCAATATTGACAGAAAAAAAAAGGGTAAAGAATACTTGCCTTGGTCTGATCTTCATTTGTATTATTTTCTCTTTCCTTATCTCTTAATGATCGAAGTGGAGAAATTCTCTGTAATATGGACATTACCAAAAGAAACAAATTAAAATAGTTAACCCATGAAACCAGTTACTACTTCAAATTGGCATAAGAATTCTTGATTATCCTCAATATTAATGGGTTTTCATTAAAATTGAAAAAAAAAAAAAAATCTTGAGTTCCCAGAAACAAGAATCTTACCTTGCAAGATAATTTAATCTCATTTAATCGATACAATCTATCAACTTCAATTTCGAGATGCTTCTGCACTTCCCCTCTTTGTACAAGTTCCTTCATTTTCATATCCAGTATCAAATCCCTTTCTTTCAGTGTCTCCTCAGTCTTCTCCTTATCTATTTTCAGTCTCTCCAGTTTTTCTCGTATGGCACTTAGCTCCTCAGCTAACGACGCATCAAAGGATTCGATTGGAGCCTTAATAGGTGTGGCATAATAATCGGAAGGAGCAAAATTCTCCTTGTTGGAGTTGTCTGCCAGTGAGATTTCAATACAATCAGGATTTTGCTTTGGCTTTGGATTTTCATTGGGAGTGATTGGAGCGAGGAGTGTATTCTTGGGTTGTAGCGGTTTCCGGCCACTTTTTGGCGGTGGAATCGACTGGTGGCCGAAGAGTGGAGATTGAGATGCTAACATTTTTGGTTATGGTTTAGTGGGAGGTGGGCTTCTGGGGAAGGAGAATATTTGTTTTTGAGAATTTGCGAGTGTGGATTTGAATTTGAAAAGGAGCAGAAGACTAACGGCTACTATTCTACATGCAATTGGACAGTGAGTCGCATGTGTTTGGTAAAGTCGGTCTGTTGACTTTCTTCTGATCTAAAACAGGTTTAAACATAAAATATTAATTTTGAAAAGTTCAAATAAATTATTATTAATTATTTTTACCTCCGCATCTTACTAACAATGGCCCATTAGCTCAGTTGGTTAGAGCGTCGTGCTAATAACGCGAAGGTCGCAGGTTCGAGACCTGCATGGGCCATCCCATTTATTTTTTGGCTTTCTTCTTGTTTTTCAAGCTTCAAAACCGTAACTGTAAAATAGTATATTTTTTTCCCCAGTCACCGCTTTTATTCAACCCCATCTTCTATTTTTTTTTTTACTTTTTGATGTAGAAAAATTGTTCAAACTCGAATTTGTATGTTAAAAATGCTCCCAATCTTTACATTGCTTTCAATATCCATTAAATTTGGTTGATAGAACAACACCAAAGAGCTTTATAACCTTCCAATGAAGAAATTACAAGAATATAAAACAACGGAAAGAAAAGGAGAGAGTTGTGGAAGGAGGAAACTTTCTATATATACAGGACCTGAAATCATAAAAATCATCTCATAAATAATCCATGGGAAGCTCCCAGTCATCGGTAGTTTCTCTCATCTTTGAGCGGTACTTCCGACTAGATGAACGCCTATCCCTGCGTCTGTAATCACCTTGATCACGTCCGCCTTTGTCTGAATCTTCTTCAACTTCGACGAAAGGGTTGCCAACATTCTGGGCATCCCAAAAGCCCTAGCATTGGCGATAGAGTATAATTAGCAAGGTATTATTAAAGGTAGTGCAGCTTAGCTAATCAAGAAGAAAACTACTCAAATCTGAGATTTCATACTACTCTCCAAGATGCTCTTTCAACTTTCGAAAATGCAGAAATACACAATTGGTGTACTGAAGTTTAAGTGAAGTGGAAGAGTTATGTACACATGCGACGTTTTTTATGGTTGAATTGAGCACCTGCATAATCTTCCCACATAATTAAGGGGAAAATCGAAAGGAGGAATATTAATTGACATCAAGGTTTGTTGTAAATGGGAACTCCCGTGCAAAAAGTACCTTGGTTAACCTTTGCATGCGTGAAGCGGCAGCTTCACGTACCACTACTGTGTCAGGCAACACTTCCTGCACATCATCAACCAACAAAGCATAGGTGCTCACCTGAAATGAAAACAAGAAAATAATGCTATCTGATGCCGGTAATTTTAAGAAGCTTAGTTTATGTGGTTTTTAAAAAGATGAAAATCTCCAATTCCTTTGAAACAAGATAAAATTTCAAAATCCTATGCATTCACAAAATTTCTGATGTGCACATTGTGCAAGGACTATTCACCTACCAAACTCGACGGAATGATGGAAATTCCGAATGAATCAAGCTCGAGAGATTCCACGGAGCCTGAGTTGATATTAAAGGTATAACCACGCACCTAAAAATGAACGATGCATGATTTAAAAAAAAAAAAAAGACAAAATGAAGATTGAACGAAGGATGGATGATAGAAAAGCCATTCACCTTGCCAATGCTTCTGCGACCTGGCGTCACAACAGTGTATCCTACCTAGCATAGAGCACTCATTAACAATGCAAACCAAGAATAAGAAATTAAACATTACAGAAGAAAATAGACTTTGCTACTTAATGCTTGGAATTAAATCTATCCCACATGGCAAAAGACCATACTATATGCTTGGGCCATTTTCCTTCTTATTTTTCCAATTATAAGTGTAGAACCAACTCATTCAAAGATCAGCACGAGTTGTGCATTTTCATGGTAGTGCAGAACAACACAGTCAATTACCATAACCCTATCTGAAGATGGACTCAATTGCACTGTCATTTCCTTGGATGACAAGATTGAGGTGCAATCACAGTGTCCAATTGAAATCCTATACGAGCTAAATATTGACGATTGTGGTGAAAAAAAGAAGGTAAATCTAATATTCAGAAGAGAATAAGATATTGATTTTATTAGTTGCAGTAAATATGTCTGGGCCCGGTGAATCTTCTGCAAGCTCTGTAAAAATGAAATCAAGTACCCCCTTCATGCTTGGAAGCAATAAAACATACCAATGTCTCCAGTCCGACCAATCTGAACTCATTTTCCATCACATTCTCATCTTCAACGAGTATAACATCTCCAACCTGTCACAATAAACAAAATACAATACCAATTATAGTGCACTGGATTATGAAAAGGAAAACTGTCAAATTTCCCACAAAAAAAAACAGCAGAAATAACAGCAAAACTACATAAACTTGTTTGGCACACAGAATGAATCATCAAATCTTTATTTACTATTGAGAGAAATCAACAATGTCCAGTCTATTACTTGGATTGAGGTACTCAACTCATTCATCTACCAGGAGACGGAAAGTTTCCTAAAAAAAAAAAAAGCCCCAAGATAGAGCAGACAAAAAATTTCTAACTACAAACATTAATTCAATACTATTTCACGCTTAGATTGCAGTAGAAATAATAATTGGCCACAGAGATGTATTTTACACATCATGATACCTTTTCGAATGAGTGCATATGTGAAGAAATTTCTATCTACGCTGTCTCTTGGCATCACAAAAGATAGGCATGAATTGTAACTAAACAATTTGCTGACATGAGATGTAAGTAATATTTGTTTGGTAGGAGAATGGAAAGCCTTGTGTTAGTGAGACAAAATTTACCTGTGTAATGTCCTCCAAAAGAAACCTTTCGAAGTCACCAGAAAGTAAGTTAGGCCTCACTTCCACAACCAATACAACCCACTGAAAAGCAAAAATAACAATTTTAATAAGCTAACATCAAGAGATTGAACATACATTTTTCTTTCAGGAAAACAGATTTGATAACATTAATCTGGCCAGTTGCATCCTCAATGGAATAAAGTATTGTTCCAGAACATGTGCACCCTATAAAAATTACATAAAAATGTGTGCCCTACTTGCTAAGAAGAACCATAAATTGTATAACCATGCTGTTTGAAAGTGAACACTGCTCAGGCATTCCCACTGTGAATATCGTACCATTCATGAGACACTGGCCAACGATTCAAGTACCAACAATCATGTTAAATTAGCAACCTAAGACATCCTTTTGAGTTCATTAGGCCTGAACACCCTGGTAATTAGGGCCAGACTATGGCAAAAAGAAGTGCGGTTAATTCAACACTATTTTTCCTTAGATACTTGATCTGCTCCTCCCTAGCCCATGGACAAAGATCTATTGATCGGACACCATAAATCTTATCTCCATTCAATTCTTGCAAGGACCGCTTCTTCCTAGAAGAGAAGATTGGCTAATGTTCCATCTAAGATCACATCTCACAGCTGTAGGATCCAATTTATCCAGATTTCTCATTCTGCAAATCATTTGCCTACATGTTCCTGTGGTAGTTATCTCAGCCTAGCGAAGCATAACTTTGCCCTAGAATATGCTGTCAAGTGTTCCCCAATTGCAAATTGCTATTGCTGAAATTATTTTCAGGCAGCACAGAGTATAATTCTATATCAGAATCCAAACTACAGCCATCACTTGCTTGATTATAAGGAATAACATGCAATAGATTATTTAGATTCCATCCTCGACCAGAGAATTGACCAAGGTTTGATAAATGACAGATAAAAAAACTCACAGAAGTGGTGTCGACCCAAAGCTGCGAGACGAATCCCAAGCTGAGAGCAGAACTGATGCTGATTACTTGCTTTGCTATGAGATTCGATCTTCTCAACATCTGCTTCCCGCTTCTCACCACCGAAACCGCCTCCGCATTTTGTTGGCTCTCTAATTCCTCGAATTTGGCATCAATACCATTACTACTAACCAAGTCCTCATCTTTCACTAAATAATTAATATCACTCTCGTCACTCCTGAATTTCAAAAATTCGTCGATACTCGAATCCTCTGCTTCTTTATTGGTTCTATTTCTACCAACTGAAATCTCCTTTTTCTCTTCTTCGTCATTGGAATTCAGGCTTTTCTTGAGTTGATTATCCCGTCTTCTTTTGCCCTCAATAAACCCTAAATTTCGATCTCTAAATTCATATTCGTCTGATCGAAAGGGAATTGAATTTTGAATGGGTTTTATTTTCAAAAAAATCCTTTTCAATGGAGAAATGCAAATGCTCGAAACATTTGATAATCTGGAACAACTATTCAGCCCTAAGTAGTGAATTGCGGAGGAAGAATGAGAAGATAAAATTCTAGAGGGAAGGCAATCATGCATGGCGAAAATCGGAAATAATTATCGCCACAATTTGACCAATTAACATGTATTCATTTCACACTCAGAGTGAACAATCCAAAAATTTTCCGCTTTTGCTTAGAATGGATAAAAAAAATTCTTGGAACATTTACGGCTGAGGTTCTTTCTGATATATAGAGGATGGATTTCAAGGTATCTGGAAGTTAAAGAACAAATACACGGAGGTATGAGAAAGTTTGAACTGATTTTGGAGGCATCTGAAAGTGGAAGGACTGATTTGTAGGAGGACTGATTTGGAGTTGTGAGAGAGGAATTGAAAGGTTTATATTTGGATTTGGAGCACTATGAAAGTTAAAGGACGGATATGGAGGTATCTGATAGACAGAGGATCTATATGGAGGCATCTGAAAGTTTAGAATAATGCTATTTATCATTATGATGATGGAATATCGAAAATGTGACAGTTTACATAAAATAATGGAATTTGAGAATTCATTTTTTATGAGATAGAGAGGGGAGGAGACGCGGTTCCAAAAAAGAGAGAAATGTGAGAAATAATAGATTTTCATATCATCTATGTTTCATTATCATTATGATAAATAGTATTACTCGAAAGTTTAAGAACTGATTTCATGGTAAAAGAAAGCTCGAGGATTGATTTAGACATAATGGAAAGAAGGACTTGTTTGCTGGAATTTGAGAGTTGTAAAGTGACAGAGATTAGGAGGACTGATTTAGTCATTTAGAGGAATTGGAAGGTTTATATTGGATTTAGAGCGCTATGAATGTAAAAAGACGGATATGGAGCTATCTGATAGACACATGATCTATATGGAGGCATCTGAAAGTTTAGAAATACTATTTATTATTTTTTTGATCGGTAAATACTATTTATTATTATGATGATGGAATATTAATGATGTGACAATCTATATGAAATAATAGAATTTGAAAATTCAATTTTTTATGAGAGATAGAAGGGGTGAGATGTGGTCTAAAAAAAGAGAAAATGTGAGGGATAATGGGTTGTCACATCATTTATGTTTCATCATCATGTTGATGAATAGCATTATTCGAAAGTTTAATGATTGGTTTCATGGTAAAAGAAAGTTGGATGATTTATTTAGACATAATGGAAAGAAGGACTGGTTTGTTGGAATTAGAAAGTTCAAGGTGTAATTTGGAGGTATCTAAAAGTTGAAGCACTCATATTTGGTATATGATAGTTTGAGGATGGATTTGAAGTTATATAAAGTTAGAGGACCGTATATTTTGTATCTGAAAGATAAAGAACTAATTTATCCCTAAATGATAGTTAGAGTTCTGATTACAAAGTATCTGAAAGTTAGACGATTGGTTTGGAGGAATCCATAAGTTGAAGGATGTATGTAGATTTATCTGAAAGTCAGTAGAGTGGTTAGGAGGTATCTAATTCAACCTCCTGATCAAACAACCATAAAGAAAGTTAGAGGATGGATATGAAGATATTGTAAGTTCAAACAATAATTTACCATGTGCACGCGCCATATACAAGTTCAAACAATAACTTACAATACCTTCATATCCATCCTCTAACTTTAATTTACCATGGGCTCAATCAATGTGCACGCACTATATATATTTTACCATTCTTTTTTCTCTTTCAACTTCTTTATTGATCATTCATCTATGAATAAAAACTTGTAAATCAAAGTCTAAATTTCATTTCTTATCTCAGTGCCCCTCCAAAGTTGCCATCATTAATCCTGTGAGTAAAACTTTTGAAAACACTAGAAGTTCTTAAAATGTGTAAATTATCATATTCTTTCACTACATGGATCCTTGGAGAATCTCTTCGTCTTTGAATGTGAAATGATAACTTTCCACAGATCACATACGAAATATCTCAAGTTGTTAGTCCATGTTCTTTATAACTATCAAGGCTTAATCTTCAATCAGCCTCCAAAAAATTTCTCTCAAGGAGGTCATAAGTGATATAGACCAAAGGAATTGCAAATACAAGTGGAGAATCCATAATAAAGGCAAACAATATTTCACTCTCTCCGGGAAAGTTTTCTTAAAAATGACAAATTTTAGTTCATTTTAAGAGAAGCACTATATGTACAGAAAAAAATACCAGAAATCATTCAGAATACACACATGGGGGTGGGCCCCATTTTTTTAAACAATATTTAACTCACATGGGGCCCACTCCCATGTGAGTATATGGAGAATTTCCGGTAAGAAAACAGAAAATTTCTACTTTTTGTGAGCAAGCATTTCCCTTCAATCAATCTTTTTAGCAAATGAACTTGGAAATTGTCCTGATGACCTTTCAATCAATCCTACTTTATGGCAAAAATGGCATCTGACATCCTTATGTTCTTTCCAGTGGATTTGATCTTTAGAAAATTCATTCAGATTTTGGGTTATCCTTTCTCTGGTTGCTTCTTTTTAGAATTCTTTCTAACCACTTGATGAGTCGCAAAATGAATTATGGGCCTTTTGATTTTTCAACCTTGTCAAATTGCACTAAAAAGTGCGCGTCCACATTAATTTGTGAAAATTCAAGGGACGTGCTTACACAGGACGTGAACCACCATGTGACACTGTAATTTATATAAACCTTAAGCTTAATATATTTCATAAAGAGTTGTTTAAGGGGAGGGGGTATTTTAGACTTTTTAAAAGTATAATAAATTTGAAAAGTTCATTTTAGAGTAGTTATATTCACACGTATTTTATAAATACATTGTATTTTAATTACATCAAATGTATCAATTTTATTTATTGTTTCATTTATATTTTTTTAATTTTTTAATCACATTCTTACATTTGACCTTTATTATCTATCAAATCTTGTCCTTCATCACGATTTTCATCTAAAAATGTTGTTAACGTGCTTTAAAATGAAGGACAAATATTTTGTTTTAATTTTGTTATTTGCTTATCTTTTGGCTTATTTAACTAATTAATGACCAATAAGTCTTTTAACTCAATCTTAACAAAATTTTTGGACAGAAACCATTATCAAGGACAAGTTGTGTTAATTTCAGAACAAGAATGTCATAAAAGATTGGAGACATAAAAGTAAAAGGTTATAAAAACTTAATACAATTAAAATTAAAATATGGTGTAATTATTTTTAAAAAAAACTGTTGTGGGAACATATTTAGCCTTCATTTGATACGATAAATATAAACTTAAAAGCTTTAGTCACTTTTATGTATTTATCCCAGAAATACAAAACGAACTAAAGAGGGACTGAAGCGAATGAAGAAGAAATGTATTGTTTCTTTTGTTTAAATTAGGGAAAATTGCAGCCACGGTACCAAACATTTCATTTAGTAGTAGACTTTGTCCAAACCTTTCATTTGTGTCAGCATGGTACCAAACCTTTCAGAAATTCTTGACTAGACTCCAAATTGATGGATTCCGTTAATTTGACTGTTAGTTGACCTAAAGTCCATGGTCTAACCAAATTTT